GATTCTAAGAATAATGAATAATAAACAATTACAGCCAACCGCACTCGGTTTTCTTCTGTATACACGTATACCGTCTAACATTACTATTTGCATACTATGCGGTTTAACAAATCAAAACCTTGCGAAATGCGTAAGCTTAAAAATAGACACAGTATGCACACCAAACTAGGCATAAATAACTGTTTCATAATTATCACGAAAAAAATGCAAAAATAAAATATAAATAATTGAAGTAACATAACATAATGAAACGTACAAAACGATGACATCACTGGTGCAGTGAAGAGCAATAAATTGCATGCAAATGTAATTCGCATTTAAATGAGACTCTCATTATAATAAACGAACTACGATTCGTATCGGAGCTTTAATCCCCTGAACGATATTTTTCCAGGAGCGCAAACGAAAAGTTGAATTATGTAACGTGTCAGATGATATGTCTTGGGAAGCATGTGCGAGGCCGACTTCCGCACTGGAAGAAATGTCATGAGAGAAATAAAAAAAAAGGAACGATTAGAGAAAGAGTAGGAAGCGAGCGTCCTACAATTGGGGCGTCTTAATTTAGATTTTTTTTTCAGGCGCATTCAATTTTGAAACTGCTGCGACGTGTCCTGGAAGAGAAAACTCTTCTTAGTTTTTTGTTTGCGCCGCATCGATTCCCTCAACTTAGCTTCGGCCACAACAGTCGTGGTTACTTATCTTAATCAAATGCACACAACAGCAAAAAAATAAAACTGCCATTGATAACGTAACGTTACGTAATTCACGTAGGAAAAACTGCGTTAATCTTTGGATTAGCAACAATGAATTGCGTACGTATAAATCTATGTTGAAGTTGATGTAGGCTCTTCGTTGGTTCGTAATGTGGAGATGCTAATTTAATTAGTTGAATTGTGGAGGAAATGTGTGTGAATGAAACATCGAGCGAACGTTACTACTTATTTTAGAACGCTATAACTAAGCGCTTGCACCCTAAAATGGGGTGACTTGCAATGGGTGGGGTGAATTTCATAGTCACGAAATATATATTTATATATATATATGCACGTACAAAGATTGTTAACCATGAGAAGGGTCGGTATTAAATTGCAGAACATTGAAAACCTAGCACTCGTCACTCCATTAATAAAATGAAAAAAATGCAATTACCTAAAGGCAAATATTTTATGAAAGAAACTAATTAAGTATTTGCAAGTGTGAAGTGACTTTCATAATCATGGGAAATATATTTGTAATTACATATACAAATATTATTTATAAAATTAAGAGAAAACTTATGAAACACTGCCATATTAGTACACATCACCTTAAGTAATAAATTTTCTGAATAAATAAAAAATTAAATTATTAAAATAGGACATTTTAACTAAATAAGAACAGATGAAATAATTAAATACGTTAAAATATATAAAAAAAAAAAGGTGTAAGATTATGTAATATAAGAAAAACACTAATCCTAGACACAACGTCTCCTGAGAAATACGAGTGTTCTTTAAACATGCAACAGATGCCTTCCCAAGTGACGACTTATTGAAGCTGTCCAGAAGGTAAGTGTTGATGAATTGTCCCTTCTTAATAACATTCCTTGCTTCCAAGTCAATGTTAAGTATAATTACGATCCTCTCCTAAAACTCGCACATTATTCTAAACTACTTTTACCACTTTAATATACTTTTTTTCAGAAACAAACTTTTGTAAAGTCAATTATACGCACCACAAATTTTCAATACCAGTTGCCTTCACAAGCCCAACCCCATATTCTTTTCAACTATTGAATAACTAGGGCTAAAAACGCACCGAAGTGCATAAACCAAATAAAACCTTATAGTTTATTTTTTTATACACAGACGAAAACATTCAACTTGCGGAATTTTGTCTTACTCGACGTCCATAGAAATTTGGAGCATAAACGTTATTAACCTGAAGATGAAAATAGCGGAGCCAGAGTTGCTCTATTTAAGCATAACATTTGTATCTGTAGGTTAACGTTTAACAAGAGCTATAATTGTGTAAATAAATACAAGTATTTGTGATTTCAAGTGTTTAGTAACAATTAGGTACAATTTTCGTTTAAATTGCGTAATAATATAAACATTACCAATTTCATTGACACATTCGTAATATTTATATCACAAAATAATATTTGCCGCATTCCAATTTGATACTTGTAAATATCTTCTTTTTTTCATGCGTATTTACACACAAAAATCTTATAATTTGAAAATAGACAAAGTTATAAAAATATGTTAACAAAATATTACATAATTATTTAATAGAAACTAGTGCGCTCAAAATTATGTAAATGTATTCAAGATCAGGTTGTAGTATGAATACGATGCAAACAATTATGATACACTCTCTTGATTTGGATCATCGATTAAAGACAATCATCTCTCTTAACCCAATTAGTGTAGTTACTCAGATGTATCACCACCTTCAACAGCATTACAAAACAATAATACCTATCTTATCAGTATCTAATCAATTGAAATTCAATAGATTGCACTTATCACTATTTAAAAAGTAATTTCTTAAGTAAATACATAAATGGATGTTCCACTAATCACTTATTGCAAATAAAAAACAAATATCAAAATTTTACGTTTCTTTAAAACTAAATTAAACAAAAAGTCGACATTTCTAAATTAAAAGTTGCACTTGATATTAGCTTTTTCGATCCGCTCTCAATAATGAATTTATTATGGTTTCCGTGCCAAAGAAAACTCGTCCAGTGCCAAGTTTTGAAATTTATCATACGTTGACACATATGTCACCTAAATTATATCTGTGTATGCTTTGAAAATATAAAAAAAAGTAGATTTTTTTGTATTAAATTTATGATTTCCATTGAAACCATTCAATATTATTCGTTGCATGAATGTGTGTGTGTATTCCTTATCCAAGCGGCCTTTGGAAAGCCCAAATCATATCGTATATTTCATAGAAAATAGTCTTAATTGGAATAGATAATAGTAGTAGTTAAACCAATAAACATTAATTTCGTCCAGATTAGAAAGCTAGAAACCAAAATATTGGATTAAGCAAACATTAAATACAGAAATGTTCTCACAGTTTATTACATTAGCTTATTACCCTTAATCTTTATTTGCTGTTCACAAAATATTTGCATTAGTAGCGTTTTGTAATTAACATTTTGTAAAGAGAGGGAACTTGGGATATGTGTGCAACTACGAAAAACAGAACAAATATAATAACATACCATGATGAGGAGGTTACACGAGTTACAAACAAGTCACGGTTATATTTATCTTATCAAATTAACAAAGATCAATTAGTACAACTAAACGTGATACCAAGTTAATAATAGTTCTAATAAGAAATGTTAATTCTTCTGCAAATGGTATTTAACATTATAATTTATTATACACGTATCTAATGATCTTTACACCTCATAAAACATACATTTAAAAAAAATTGTATCACAAATTGAAGCCGTTTAGAAAACTTAAATGTTTTAATATATAAATTGAGGTGAATAAATAAACATCAACATTGTTGAATGACTGGAACTCTTTGTCGTTGCAGAGAACGGAAATGCTCTGCTAACAACGCAACGTGTAATTTATCATTTGCCCAAGGACTGTGCTCCAGTTTCAACAGAACGTTTCCAAGATCTTAAAAGATATTTTATTTTAAATATATAACAATGATTCATAACAAAAAATACACAGAGCCCCACAATTCTATTTTATATACTTCATTATAAGAAAATAGTAAATATTACATTTAATTAATTTATGGTTACTGTAATCTACACAATATCTATTTATACTTCAAGAAAAGTCATTCAATATTCTAAAAAATATAAACGAAATATCTGAATAAATAAATTCAGAATTTTCTTTAGTTTCAAGAAATGATAAAAATAGCATCATTTCGCAAAATAGCAACTATGACCTCAAATCATGCATAGATACTTTATGATCACGAATCTTCATCTTCGGGTTAACGATTATTGAAGATTGTGCTGTATTTTCATGGCAGTATACCGCATAATTTTATCGCTTCTCAACTCAAAGAATTCGCACCAACATTCAACCATTTTCTGCATGAAATAGTCGTTATTGTAATTAATCCAATAAGATTCTGATTATAATGGTTCCATTCAAAATAATTGAATAAATATTTGAGAATCCATTCAATAATATGATTATTGAAGATTATGCAGTATTTCCATAGCATTGTAATGCATAATTTTAGCTTGAAATACATGGTTACATCAATAAGATTGGAAAAATTGAAGAAATATTTGAGTGTCCATTGATCTAAAATTATACAAATGATGAAAATACAAGGCTTCAGTTTAAATATTTACACTATTGTTATAACTACCAGCAGTGTTACGTAGAATTAACTGTTCCGGTTGCTCCAATAAGATTGAAGATTGGGACATGCAGTTGAGTTTCGATGCATACATAAATAATGCAGGAAATGGTAAATTCTCACATATGCATAATATATCAAAATATAAACACGATGCACCGGCTTATCTCTTGGAGCAGAAGACGACAGTTCTTAGAAGGCTCGTGTTAGGTAAATAAGCGTATCGAATGACAATTGATTGTATGTGTGTGTGTTGCGCGTATTATCTATGTATGTGAGGATATGGGTATGACTGTGATGGGAGAAGAAAGGAAGCGTGTTTACTTTTGTAATTAGAATCAATATGGCTAAGTCGTGTCGATTCTGATGGAATAATTGCAACAAGTAGGGTCTGGGTGTAAGTCGAATTCTATAAATAAACGATTACGAATTGATAAAGCCGAGCTGCGAAGCGAAGCCGCAAAGTCGGAGAGCGAGAGGGAACGTCTCGAGTGTTTGTTCGACCTGATAAATGTGAGGTGAGGTGACACACCCCAGCAACTTTGGTAAGCTTCGAGATGTCGAAAGATACGTCGGAGGTGGCGGCTGCGACTATGTCTTTCTATAAAGTAGGTTCTGGGATGATTGGTCTTGGGGTCTTGGAGAAGTACACGTACCTTCAAGTTTGTTCTTCCCAAAATGCAGTAAAGTTCGCGCGTCCACTTTCGTTCTCACTTGATCGCACTGAGCACACGACGATCACACCAACAAAAAAAAGGAGACGGCTATTGCGGGTGTTATTCAACGGAACCGAAGCGAGCTACGAAGCATACGCCCCATCGATTACTGGACCGAATTCGACTGCCGATGCCGGACGCGACTTGACTTTGCACCACGGGGAACGCGAAGTCGGAACTTTTTTTTTTGGTTGGTTGGTGGTTGATTGTTGTTCTCTGCACTGCTCGACTTCCGCTTCTTCTTTCACGCGTCGTCTCTTCTTATTAGATTCTCTTCTTTTTTATTTCTCTCTCGCTTCTCTCGTTCGACGTTCTTCCTTCCTAGCCTCAAAATTTCGGTCGGCCAAATCGGATGCACTCAGGGATTACTAGAGTCGCGTACCCGCAGCAGTTTCATCCGCAGTCCGGCGCACATTGGTCTGAGTTTGCGCAAACTCTCCCCTCCGTGTACGCACCTGATCCTTGCGAGCGATTCCGATCCTTATTGCATAAGCACGAAAGGACGCGAATCCTTTGCACTGATGCCGCATCTCCGAACGATTCCTACAATTCTACTTTGCGGGACTCCATCAAATTGCTCCTACCTTTCGGGCTGGCGACGTTGCCAAACCTAGGCGTCACCGGTATTCCCATTCCAATCAACCTGTCAGGTATAAATATATCTATTTGACAACTTTGACAAGTACTTGAGACGTGTACCAACTACATCAAATTGCTTTGATAAGCCCGGTATTACCAAACAAACTTTCATTTATAAAATTTACCTATTTGACATAATCCGTTCCAAAATTTCCGGTTTTTGCTTGTATAGTGAAACAATTTTCACAAACTAATATAATATACGATAATGCGTTCCATTTTGGAGTCATTTTTCTTACATTTTTGCTTATTTTGCAATAACTGTAGCCGTAATGATAATAATTAAAAGAGATGAACAAATATCGAAAAATCTGAAATTAATAATATGATTCTAATTTATGAAATACCTAATAAATATTTTTTTTTAATATTTTTTGTTTTCGCCAAAACTAAATATTGATTAGTGCTCACTTAGAATATTTGTACATTGTTATTTATATTTTGAATAATGTACATGTTACTTGGAAAGTATTTTGCCACGTTACTATGGAACAAACATACACAATGAGATTTTTTAAAATTCAATTTAAATGTATTATTTCGATATTTTGGCAATTAGATTATTGTTTAAGTGCAAATTTTACGTGAATATTAAATTGCAGATATTATCCCAAAATTAAATACTTATTGAAATATAAGGTTGATTTAATTTTAGAAAAAATGCCGGATGACATTCAGTAATGGAACTAATAATAATAGAGTCCAATGAATCATAGTTAATATTAGATAAGTTATAACCAGAATTGTGCGTGAATATGCTTGGTTCAATTATATTTAGATATAATTCCTATCCTATTGATTATACAGTTCACCCATCCGAATATTATTATTGCTTAACTGTTGCAAGTTTTGAAATGTCACAAAGCTTTTGAACGCCTTAACTATCAATAATTTAATTTAATATAGAGTGTATTAAATTATATTATAATACAATATTTGTATATTGCCTTCTTTCAGTTCATTTTTACTTTGAAATGAGTTTATTATGTAAACTGCAATAACTTCAAATGGACCTTTAACATATTTCCAAGAATATATGCGTATTTCATTGAATTCATGTTCTTAACAAGTACGAATAATTAAGAAATCAATTTTATATAATAATTATATTAATTGTAAATTCAAAAGAAACATAATATAAAGAGAGATTTATATCAGTTTATTTATTGATATAAATCTCTTCCGGCCCTATTTCTACTACCCCTTTCGGGTTTAACAGCCACCACATTTTTTTTTTGTTTTTTTGGGAATCGAACCAACGACCTTTCGTATCAGTTTTTCGTGATACAGGCGACCATAGACAAAGAAACATATTTTATCAATAAGTAAACTATTTTAAATATTTATTATCAAAAATTCTGCCAACTTAAAAAAAAAGGCAACATCGCATTGCCGCTTCCAGTTCTGTCCGCCCATTATGAAGTTGCAGTCGCGCCCAACGCTAAAAACAAAGTAGTTACATCATAAGATACACAAAATTGTTTAAAAAAATTATAAGTTAAAAAAAATGTAACATTAAAAATGTATTTTTTTTAATTTTTAATTTTTTTTCGAGCGATGTTTATTTTTATTTTTTTCTAAATTTTTATTTTTGTGGCAACAATGTGAAACGAAAAGTATAGACGTCTGTAAAAAAAAAAACGAAAACATTCGGGCTCAAAAAGTATTCAATATAGTTTCTGCATTTTTTCGGGATAAAGTGAGTGGAGTTTTTAGTAAAATTGTGCATATCTGTATTGTGAAACTTTGTTTTAGTTATGGGAAGACGGAGCCGTTCAAAATCACCAAGCAGACGTCGTGAGCGTGACAGGGGAGACAGGGATCGTGAGAGGGACAGAGATAGGGAACGTGACAGGGATAGGGACAGGGATCGTTACAGCAGGAGGAAAAGGTCAAGGGACAGGTCCAGGGAGAGGAGGAGGCATTCTAGTGAAAGAAGATTCACAAGATCTAGGTCCAGGACGAATTCGCCTGTAGATAATAAGAGGAATAGATTAAATGTTGAACGTCCCACAGTGTCAGAGGTAGACCTACAAGGAAAGTCTCCAGATGAGCAAGAGATGATGAAACTCATGGGCTTCTGCAACTTTGACACAACTAAAGGAAAGAAGGTTAATGGCAATGAGGTGGGAAATGTTCATGTTATTCTCAAGAGGAAGTACAGGCAATACATGAATCGCAAAGGTGGATTCAATCGTCCATTGGATTTTGTTGCATAGACTGTTTTTGACTGCAAGTTAAGAAACCATGAACCTCAAACAATCAGGATAAGTTTATTTTTTATAAATATATTAATTACTTCAAGTTTTACCTCACAATAGTTTTTTTTCTCTCTGCGGGTCTATGATAAACCCATGTTCAAGTTAATCATCTTCACTTCATACCTCCACAATAACATTGTTTCATTTTTAACAAATATATTTGTATAAAATAAGTTTAATCAATCAATAAAGAACATAAGTTATATATACAATGTTTTCATTTTATGTTCTATTCTTTTTAGATAGCGGCTCTTCATCTTCGGACGAATCTGCGTTTTCATCGCTCTGACGTTTCTCTGCTAATACAGTTTTCAAATCCTTTATTCGAAAATCTCGCGCTGTTCCTTGACCAACGTATTTGAACAGATCAATATTCGTTTTCTTTGATAACTTGATCACTAAAGAGCTGAATGTTTCCATTTCCAAAATCAATTTGGGCAATAATTTTGTTTCCTTCAGCACCTTATTCTTCAACAATTTCGCATCCTTTTTCTTAGATACAATCCCTTCAATTTGGTTATGATCCATATATAAGATCAACTTATTCACAACAGGGGATAAAGATTTACCAGTATCTTTAACAACGTTGTTAAATCTGTAATATAATAGCTGTAGTATCAAAATTAATATAATGCAAATATTTACTGACCTTGCGACCTGAAATGCTGGATTAAGTTTACTGGATCGCATAGTAAAATACTTTGTTAAATTGCAAAGAGTTTGGTAAAGATTAGTATTGATTTTAAAAACCATCTCGCAGCAAGGGCCCATAGGCATGGATACATCATTAATATCAATCATTATACTAATTATTTGGCACAGCTGACAAGACAAGCTACGTTCCTTTGATCTCAGCGATTCTCGTTCTAATGAATTACAAATAATATTAGTGTTGTGGTTATATTCCAAGTACTCATATCTTACTTTGTTCCATATCAATCTGTGCTGGAATAGAAATCCAAGTCGCCTCGGCCTTTATTCTTAAGATAATCCAATCCACATCATCCAACATTGATTTCATTTCGTTGCATAAGCACAAGAAAACTGTGGTAGATGCAGCTTCATTGAAGATACCTGTTACACATCCATCCTCTTTTTCCTAAGGAATAAACAATGAAATTATTCAAGCTAAATTGACTTAGCAATCTTTACCTCATCCGAAATTCTACCGAAGAAATCAGTAAGTTTGGTGGCAAAGCTCGATTGCAATGTTGTCGAGAGCTTATGCTTGGTATATAGTTTGAAAAGGAAGGTGACGAAGCTGTTTACAACCGCTTTTCCGAACAATTTACGATCTTCCGTCATTTGCTTCATCCATTCGATATTTTTATTAGCAATCGTGCAATTCGTTTTTCCAGCGATTTGAGCTCCGACCATCAAAAATCCATTAATAATAAGCTTCGCCACTTCCGCATCCTGCGCAGAGTCATCATCGCTAGCTTCTAGCAACTTTGAATAATTGCTTAAGATTTTTTCTATAGCCAAATTAATATTAGTTTCTTTTAAATCGCCTACAACGTGACTTATTATAAACATGTTAAATTATTTTTTTTAGCAACTTACATATTCCATTTAGGAATTTCAACCAATGATTCTTGAAATGCAAATTGACAACCTGCAAAATTGTATTGAAAACTTCCAAAGATAAAAGGGCTGTCCCGTAGTCAAACTCGGAAATTTCATCGAAACGCTGTATACATCTGACGAATAAAAGCTTAGCAATTTCCATGCAATAATCGAAATGCGTGCTCTTCTTATCTTCTTCCAAGTATTTTACTTGTTTTAAGCTTATAAATAAATTGTGGACCGCTTGTAAAGCGTATTGGTGAAACAAAATGTTTCTCTTCAAAATATTGGCTTGCTCTGGACATGACCAATCCACAGAAGTCCTGATGGCAGTTACGTATGAAAATTATTATTATTTTTAATTAACTAAGCTTCTTACTGATGCAACAAAGTTAGCAACTTGCTGGCAACATCCAAAGTCATGACGGTATCTGGAGGTTTGAAAACACGTTTTTCGGAACCGCCTTCTTTTCGTGAAGTTTCGTTTTGATTTTCTGTACTTTTGTTAGCATCCGCTTTCTTCTTTTTGTCTTTCTTCTTGTTTAATGACTGACATAACAATATAATAATTAATTTAAAATATAAAAAACTCGCAGATTCAACAGTTACCTTAGAGAAATCATTCAATCTGCAATAACCTGTAAAAAGTTGCTTAATCGTGTCTCCAGAAGAGGTCGAATCCAAGTTCCAAGCGCACAGATTATAGCTAATCAGTGCTTCATAAGTTGACATGACCTCCTTTAAAATCAACATTTTCTTCTGGGATTCCGGTAAGATGTCCAACAAATCCGTTCCATCATCCTACAAATTTAATTAATTAATCTGTTAAAACAATTTTAGGAAACACTTTACTAGTTCGAAATGCTCCAGATCGCATTGTGTCATTTTTGTGGATAATATTTCAAACACATCCACGAATTTCTGCAGCATTGGACTAGTATCACCAATGGATCTGCGTTTACAAATGATCATCGCAATGGTGAAAATCAGTTTACCAAGCCGTTCCTGAAACATGTAGATGTAATTTAAACGAATTGTTGTTATCCTTTTTGGATAGCACGTACTGTTAAGATAGCGTCAGTGTCTTTAATTTGGATGGCATTCGAGAAATTTAAAGGTGGAAGAATTGCAACGTCAACAACGTAGAATGAACTGAAATGCGACCAAAGCAATTCCAATAGAGGTTGGCATAAATCCTGATTCACGCAGATCGTTTCATACAAATCTAAAAATTAGCTATTTATAAAGATTTCGACTTAATTTCTCTTGCTTACTGTCGTAGAGTTTAGCTTTAACATCAGCTTGTTGCATGAAACACCTCCGCAGGATTCCCAGAATTTCAAGACACAAAGCTTCGTTTGTTACTCCAGCGCACATAGATCTGCCAGTCAAAGTTAAGGAAATTTGTGATAATACGGACATCCCAGAATCGAAGCTATTTTCATAGTTTTGCAATGCAGCGGAATTACTTATCTTCAGATTTTTTATTAATTTAATGAAACCGACAACTGCCATTTGTCTAGTCTCAATGCATCTGTAACAGTAATGTTCATTGAATAATTACGTTTATTATTATTTTTAATATTACATACTTAGAATGTAATCCTTTGCGTAACATCAAAATCAGATTGTCTCTTGTAGTGTGAGACAGCTTTGTTAATGGCAATATAACATCAAGGATTTCACTAGCGACAGGCCCTGATACTTGAATGGACTGTTCAATCAATTCCACTATACATTTTTGGTTCTCCAAAAAAGTTAAACCAAAGCGTTTTGAAATCATCTGCAAACATCCTAAGAACAAACATATTAATATTCACATTAATGGAATCCTTGCATGTCTTACGGATATATTGATGAACATTCTGTCCTGTGATTATCAAATTACATAACTTTTGGATAATTATTTGCGATAAATCGCGTTTCTTCTTAATCAACTCCTTGATGATGTTCTTCCCGATAGACCACATCTTCTCCACGTGATGTTCCCTACCAATGCTGCTTGATGTCGACAGTAGCACAAAAGTTAAATTCACCAATCCTTGCACCACAACATCTCTTTCGTCGACGCTGCATTCTATTATAGTTTGTATAACTTTCTCTATATCATCAAAAGCAGGTATCATATCTCTAACCCACTTCGACTCCTGCCTCTTCTGATCATCGCTGAGAGCTCGGAATATTGCAGCTTTGATTATATCAAAGACGTTCTTCTCGTAAAATGGTATAGTGGATATCGTGAGAAGAAATGTTAATTGAAATGGATGCAAGACATATTCAGGTGTCTTAGTTAAAGTCTTTAGTGTATTCAAGTATTCTTTGGTGTCATAACCAGAATTGGCATATTGATGTACATGGTATAGAATGGTGCTTTCAGCATTTACATAAGCAATGTCAATTGAATCTCCTAAAAGAGTTAATACACAAATTAACAAAAGAAGAAGATAATTTCATACAACTGACCTATAACATCCATACTATTTCTATCAGAGTTAACTGATTCCTTATTGCTGTATATTCTTATGTTAAAATAACTCTGCAGCTTTATAAAAATAATTTGACTGTTCTGTTTCTTGCATAGCCCAAGTAATTGATAGATTAACATTGGGATTTCTTGTGGTGTCATCCTCTCAATTTGATCACAAAGTTTTCTCACAACCTGCTGATGCTGATCTTTATCCAATAAGATTTCACTGAAAATTAAACCCTTTCAGAATAAATCGTAAGAAATGAATGAAATTACCTGAACATTATTGTAAGAGAAGTGACAATATTAGCAGACCAGTCCATCATAATTAATGTTTTGATCAGATGGTTCTTGAATTCTTTCCCAGTTAGTTCTTCTCCATTAAATTCAACACAAACATTCTCCTCCAAAATGTTTACCAAAACAGGTAATAACTCCTTCCAACTAAACAGAAGTCTAAATATTAAATTTCACTAAATTTTTATAGGTTTACCTACACATTATCTGTATCCGTTCCCTTTTGTATTTCTTTTGTGCACATCTGGCAGAGCTCTATGATCTGTGGCACCTTCAGCTTGGTTAATTCGAAGCATACTCTGTTCACTATCTTCACAATCTGTATCTGATTCTTGACTTTACCCTCATTGATGTTTTTCAATATGCATTGGATGCTGATGTACCTCTTCTCATCGAAATCTTGTGAATTGCTCAGTGTTTCCAAAAGGTGATTGAGAATTGTTATAAATATGGACAAATTCACAGTTCTGTCAATCATATCAATAATCTGAGAGACATAAAACTTTTAAAATTATATATCTATCATGGGTCAGTCTTATTGGATTTCTACTTACATCTTTGTTGTTTACATCTCGCAGAAAATTGATGATGGGTTGATTGTCTTTACTAATACTTAACTCTATTATGTTTTGCTCTATTGTAGTTGAAGACATGTTCTATAATCTCTGCATTTATTTGTTTTGAATTGATAATAAAAACAAGAAACAAAATTGGTCCTTGCTCAAACCGCCAACGGTTTTTCTGTTGTACTAAACTTATAAATCAAGAAAATTTACAAATACGTGTATATTTATATATCTATAAATAAAGACAATTTTAAAAGATCTACGTACATGAAGAATAATTAAATAATAAATTAACATAAAAATGCATTTTTGTGTTTTTAAGGAAAATATTCTAGGTTGTAGGCAACCAACTATAAACATGTGTATACACTTTACATACTTATAAACTTAAAATTTGAATTGTTTGATTTTATTGGTTCATTTTTAATATAAAAACAAATATTGTTTTCAACAATGCTGGTTTGTTAAGGACACTGTCCTATTTGTTAATAATGCTATTCCAGTTAGTAAACATGTTGTTTTAGTAGATAAGGATAGCATTCCTGTTGTCAAGTAGTGTATTTTCTATCAGGGATGAATTTTGATATGGTCTTTATGGGATTAATTCCCAAACTGTGGCCACTAAAGTTGCCAGGAGCCACTAAAGTTTCTAGCCTCCGATGTTTACGATCCGCCCCTGTTTTCTATGATAATTAAGCGTAACCTTACTGTAAAAGTTCATGCTAAATGGATTTTATTTGAAAATGATGATAATTAATAACTGGACATTAATTAATTTAAATCAATTCATAATGATAAATTGATTAATATCAATATGTGTAAAAACAACATATCTATATATTATGTAAATGTGGATGCGCCGGGAAAACAAACTTAACTTTTGGATTAAACCAGTGATTCCCAAAGTGGTCTATATCGTCCCCCATGGGTCTATGACAACCTGCGGGGTCTACGTCAGCAAAAAAAAATTGGGGGTCCATGAAATGAAAATGGAGGTCCACGATAGTGGATCTCAACATACACTGATAGCATCTATTTACTTACATTATACTATCTTATAATATAAAGACTTAAACTTTATTTATAAAAGTACCTATGAAGTAAAAAAAATATATATGTTTATAAAATTGTGTAAGTTGTAGGATGTAGGCATTCGCTTTGTGGTCGCAATACATTTTGATCTTGTAAAAACCTGCACATAATGATATACCAGTATCATCTTGTTACAAGCATACGCGCAGTCTCAGAGCAAAGATCTTAATAATTATAAAGATGTCCCAATATAAATAATAAATTTACAAAAAATCAATATCAGGTAAGTAGGGGGTCTACACAAAACCGAAAAATATTGCAAGGGGTCTACGACACAGAAAAAGTTTGGGAACCTCTGGATTAAACAAACTGTTATATTAAATTTGTTTTGATAATTCTACAGTTATTAAATAAATTATAAAAAAAATATTTTGTTCTACTTTTTAAACATTTAAAAAATAGAGAAGTAGTGTAACTTTGGAATAATTAGATGAGATGATGGTAATATTGGATAAGATAGGATTTTATGATGAAGTAAAGAATTTAGATTTGTAATTGCAATAATTAACATAATATTTTCAAAAAACAGGTGGATGCGCCGGGTTTAGATTTTCTATAAAAAATAGTTTCATGTTGATTTAAACAATAAAATGTAACTTACAAATGGTTAAAATTACATGTGTGATGTCAACCAATAATCGTCACACAACGCTTGTTTTCGATTCAAGGGTGTTAAGTGAATATTAAATATATCCGACACAGCGCGAATGTGGGCGTGTATGGGGTACAACTCTTCCGGTCGACGGACCAATGGTGAGGCGTCGCGACGTAGGGCGGAGCTGCTGGGACGCCGTCGCTATTTAGCGCCTATGGCGTCGCGACGCCGTTCCCGTAACGTGTCATTAGGTGGGTCACGTGCCGCTAATGATACGTTACTGTGGCAGGTGGGAAACAATAACAGGAACGGGCGACCCGGAGGCAAACAAATGGACGGTCACTTAGTCAGATTCGAGCCGCTAAATAAACAACCCAGTGATGGAATGATTGCGCAACATGGATAGGGAGGTTGAGAGCAGGAGCAGGATGCCGCGTCCGTACCATTATCAGGAGCCAACAGGTGGAGCCGCTCTGTTTCCGGTTTCCGCCTTCTCCGCTTTTCACCTACTACGGAACTATAATTATCTATTACCAGGTATTACGTAACACTTTAAACTAATCTGTGACGAAATTTACATCTTAAAATTGAATATTAGTTTCCTAATTTTGAAATTTTGGGAAAGATTGCAAGTTTTATTCTTAAACAATCTCATTTCCGTTCTTAACACTATTCTCTTTCACCATAAATATCGTACACTTTAATATATTACAAATAATACACTAATATCAAATTTAACACCTATAAAACAAATAAGTAATTCATTAATCAAGCACACAAACTTGAAAACGAAATTCTGATCCATAACTTAATTTAATAAATAATATTTTAAAACTATTTAACTAAAAAAATAGTGATCGAGATAGTACAAAATATACATATATAACATAAATAAATACTTAACAAATTTAACAGTAAATACAATTATACATTAACAGATTCCAGTTATTTATACTATATCCTGCTTATTGTTTCTTCTGATTTAAAAATACACTAATGATAAATGAAATATTTTAATACCAAATTTTATGTTTATAAATCTTACAAATCTAAATTTATATTGAGTAATCTGCAATATAAACATTGAGTTATTTTATCATATATTTTTTTAATTTATTAGAGAATAACGTCTATACAAATATTTATAAAATCAGCATAATATAAAATATTATTTTTGACGAGTAATACTTTACTAGTTGACTTAATGCAGACATTTAAATTATTTATATAAATGTTAAATAACAACAGTATATAATATCCACTTACACAATGTAATTATTTTTCAATCTATTCTTTGATTTAAACAACCCATTTTTTGATTTAGTCAATATTTATATCAATTTTATAAATTCAAAATATTCAAAGTACGTCAAATTTTTGCAGGATGAATTGCATATTATAAATATCTTAACCAAAAGCAACTTAACCTATACATGTTTGCTTTTGTGCTTATGACATAAGTGTTTTTGTTTTGAAAAATTTAAAAGTGTTCATACTGTTAAACAACAATTTATATTTTTAATAAATTTTCATATGAACGTGAGTAAAAATACATTGTTAAACGCGTTAATATAATAATATAATTCTACTAACAGTTTGTACAACTCACTTCGACCACTGGAAATTCGCGTGTTTCGGTGTGAAATTAATATTTTTCGGTTTCGTATTTATGCACATGACCACATCAATTCCGTTGCAGCGAATGATGCACGTGCACAATTTGCGCAAATTGGAGTTTACGCTCACCACACGCGAACCATTTCCATTCCAATAATAATAATAAAAAAAGAGAATTTAATAAAACATATCAACCCTGTCTTCAATTATTTCAGAAATTCCGAAGATCGGTTACCATCACAATGAGAGGTTTTCTCTACATGATGTTCATGAGCCGTCGTCGCCGAAGGAACCCATTGATCTTGGAAAGACTTTGCTTAGTGGTTTACCACCTCATCCAATTATATCCCCAAATTTATTTGGTTACCACCACAGTTTATCTCCGCTGCATCCTATTGGGAATACAAGTACGGATTTTGGATGTTGTCTTTGTTTGCTGTTATTACTTTTTCTTGTATTTGGGTTTAGGTCCGCATGGTAAGTCCGCGTTGGGTTCGGAAAGTGATGCGAAACGGCATAGGGGTGAGAAGAAACCTATTCCTGAGGAGCAGAAGGACGAAAAGTACTTCGAGAGGCGACGTCGGAACAATCAGGCGGCAAAAAAATCAAGGGATGCCAGGAAAATTAGAGAAGATCAAGTACGTATTCTTGCACATTTAGAAAGTTAAAAATTTTAATAATACATAAATTTACACTAAAATTTTATTAATTTATAATTAACTGAAATAACAGTACAATTAGTAATTAAATTTTTACGCATTTGTTATAAATTAATAACAAATTATACAAACATTTCTTATCGTGACATAATTAACAGTTTTTTTTTTTAATTTAATAAAATAAACAATACATTCTATAAATCTTGAACAAAAACTAATAAAAACATTTTAATAATTATAATTGTTTTCTTTGATTGTGCACAGATTGCGTTGAGAGCGACGATCTTGGAGCACGAAAATGCGATCCTGAAGGCGCAGATCCTTACGTTGAGAGAGGAAGCCACGTCGCTGCGTCAAATGTTAATGGAAAAGAAGGCGACGGAAATAACGATAACGTGATAAGAATTGGATTCCTAGTAATAATAAAACCTATTTTAAACTACTTGTGAGATTGTTAACAGCAACACGCTTATATTTAATGATGATAATAAAAAAATATTCTAGTTACTATTGCCATTCGTTTACATTTTATTTCCATCATCGTAAAAAAACAACATTTTTCATATTTTTAACAATAATATCGTTAGTTTTTTTTTATTATTTAATTAATCAAATTATGATTATTGTTTACTAATAATTGATAATATTTCATTATTATTTCATCATTCTTACGTTTGCTCTAAATAGCTCATCAGCAAATATGAAAAATGAATGACTAAAATTGAATCCTACCATTACAGTACAAAAAATTGAACTTATTTTGACCATAATAACCTGATAAATTTAGAAATTATTGTTTATTTCAGATTATTGTCTGGTAAGTCAAATGATTATTTTCGTATAATAGTCGATAATATATTAATTATTAATGTTTTACCCCTTCTAATATTTTCTGTATTTACGTCATCTGCTAATATGAAATAATAAATGATGAACATTTGAATCTTACAGTAAAATGACAAAATCAAAATTTTACAAATTTGAAACCATACGAGTAAAATGTCGATTATCCGTAGTAATTCGGGAACGTTACGGATAATTGATACAAACGTCGCTTTTATTTGCTTTATAAACTTAATATCTATATAAGGTAATGTGTAATTTTTTATTGTTTTCTTTGTAAAATTATTTACTAGATGGAAGATTTGTAGACAATTTTATTGTTATTTAATAAAATATTAAAATAAGTACAAATTATTTATTTATTATTGTTCAAAATTTAGTAATAACGAAAGTGTACTTAAGGTTTGTCCATTCTTATATAACAAAGTATGGACAATCTATTGAGTTTTTATTAAGAGAATATAAATCTTAATAAAAAGTCAATAGAGTTTTAGAAATTTATAAGTAAAATGTACAAAAAAGTTGATACAAAAACTTGGTTTGAATACAATATTTTTGAATTTTGGACTTTTTAAAATCAATCATCCACCTCCCAATAAAAAAAACTATAATATTCTATAAAAAAAACAATAATATTCATTATAACTAAAAATAATTTAAGATTTCTATACAAAAATAATGAACAAGAAGTTAATTGCTATAAAAGGCTATTTTTCCCCAATTAATTTTGTTGCAACAAAATATTTTTTTCTTGTAATAAAATCAATAGATAATATTAATCTTAATAAAAAGTCCATAGATTTTTAGAAATTTATAAGCAAAATGTAGAAAAAAGTTGATACAAAAATTTGATTTGAATACAACAGTTTTCAATTTTGGACTTTTTAAAATCATCCATCTCTTATTAAAAAAAACTGTAATATTTATTGCAATTATACAAAAATAATGAACAAGAAGTTAACTGCTGCAAGAGGCTTTTGACTATAGGTCTTTCTTCCTCATTCCAATAAAACCAATGTAATTTAGCTTTGATTATGAAATTAATATTGATTGATATAACTTATTTCAAAAATTGTTAAATAAACCATAACTAAAAGATATTTCATTTGTTAAAATATTGTTTCAAGTAAACATTTATGAATGTAATGTTTTTTTTTTGTTAAATAAATAATTTTAATATTTATAATTATTTAATTCTATAATTTTGAAAACTCATTGAAAATGAAACTCATTGAGAAATTTTTCATTTAATTATAGTATTTGTTGAGCTTTTTGTTACATTCTTATTGATTTATGACTGATTACAAGAATTGTTAATGAAAATTCAAGGGTAATTTATAATTTGTATTGCTATTTATTTATTTATTCTGCATGTAAGTAAAAATTGTCTTTTTTTCATTGAATAAATAAAATCTTTAGCAATTAATTTAAAAAGAAAAGTGTCTCTTCTTTAATAAGTAGCATTTTCTTTAAAACTTATTTATTATGCATTTTCAAAGATGTTTTAAAATTCTGGTCTACGCGAAGATCTTTAATACACTTACTTTTTTCAGAAAACGTGATGACAAAAGTGTTAATTAAAGGGAACAGTTCTCAAGTCCGAGAAGCGAAGAAAGCATATCGGAAGGGATAAAAAGGAAGGAGTGCAAACCAATTTCGCATGGGTGTTATTACGGTTTTGTGTCATCATTATTATATGCACATGCAGCATTGGGGTGGACTCCTTGTTGAATACGGCCTTTAATATCGGGGTAATCTAATTCACGGATGGCGTGTGACCGGATGTAATTATTATTGTAATATATCCGCCCACTCACCTCTTCCACACCGCCCGCCCGCACCAGTCCAAATCGTGGGATTCGCCACGTGCTCTTCCTTCCAACATACACACTTACCTCATCGCCACCCCCTCAATATGTGTCGTCGATCAAAAGATCCAACACCGGGCCATCAATATTAATACGTTTGCATTAACACACACTACATTCCACTCATCCGGATACAGTTTGTAGACAATTGATTGATTGATAAAACAAAAAAATTAATAGTAAGGTTGTCACCTTGACAACCAGTCAACTTAATTTTTGAATTAAAATAAACATATTTTTTAAACATATCTCAAATTTTGAAAAATAATAAATTTCTTTTTATGTCGTGTAATTTTATTTACAATCTGTTCATTAATGTGAAAATTGAGTAAATTTAAGATCGCGGTTGACATTAAGTGGATAATCTCTCCCGGTGGATCGTTACCATTATGATGATTTGATTTTTCTAATTTGTTGGTTGGTTGTCGTCTTGTAAGTTAACTTCAGTAGTATATTGATGTTCTGCGATTCCACTATTTCCTTTGACTGTGAATCTGCTGCTATCCTTAACACTGTTATTGTCCATCGACTTGGCTGAAGGTCCATATGCTGAACCTCATTCATTTCACTGTCCATCTGAGATGAACTATGGTCCTATTGCTGCAAGCACCGAGAGGGCTCACAAAGAGCCTGGCTTGACCAGGATTTGAGCCTATGACCACTGGCACGTGGGTATGGCGACTTAACCATTCGTCTATTAATCGCCCTAAATAATATATTGAAACAATATTTTTAAACATTTTTATCAATATTTAAAAAAAAATCGGTCAGGATTTGTATAGTAAAATCAGTAAAGTAATATAAATGTTCCACATTACGTATATTAAGTATTAATAGTTTACGTCATCTGCAAATATGAAATTATAAATGACGAATATTGAATCTTATAGTTACAAACAAAAACTTATTTTTATATACTCGTGATAACATGAAAATTTCTAAAATTAATGTTGTTTTCGAAATTTTATTTCATAAATCTAATAATTACTTTAGTTTAGTAATAATCAATTATATTATTAATTCTTGAAAATAACACCAATAATTCGGGGTAATTCGGGAACGTTAAAGCACGGATAATTGAAAATCACGGTTAATACAAATATCGCTTTTATTTGCTTTAAAAACTTAAAATCAAATTTTTAAAAATTTTGAAAGGTAATCTGTATTTTTTTATTGTTTTCTTTGTAAAATTATTTACTAAACGACAGATTTGCAGACAATTATTGTTATTTAATAAAGTATTATAATAAGTACAAATAATTTATCTATTATTGTTCAAAAATTAACAGTAATCAAAGTGTACATATATGTTCAAGAAGTACGTAACAAAGTATGGACGGGGCTTTAAAAACAATTGACTTTTTATTAAAATTTCATAAATAAAATGTTGAAAAAAGTTGATACAAAAACTTGAACTTGATTTGAATACAACATAGTAAAATTAGGAGTCTATATCGCAAGCCCGACAACCGAAAGACCGTCTATTGAAAGCCCGACGTTCGAAATCCCGAGTGTATCGAAATCCCGACTGTATCGAAATCCCAACGTTCGAAGTCCCGAGTCTATTGAAATCCCGACGTTCGAAATCCCGAGTCTATTGAAATCCCGAGTGTATCGAAATCCCGACGTTTGAAATCCCGAGTCTATTGAAATCCCGACGTTCGAAATTCCGAGTGTATCGAAATCCCGACGTTCAAAATCCCGAGTCTATTAAAATCCCGACGTTCGAAATCCCAACTGTATCGAAATCCCGACGTTCGAAATCCCGAGTCTATTGAAATCCCGAGTGTATCGAAATCCTGACGTTCGATATCCCGACTATGTCAAAATTCCGACTACCATAATTCCGACAATCGGTTGTCGGGCTTGCGATTGCCACCGTACAATTAGTAAAGTCAGTAAATATACTAATTTGACAGTATTGTTCATTTATTTAAAACACTTTCAAACAATATTTCATTAATGTTTAACATGAAATTGTCAGTAATTAACTGATTAACACGTTAATTCGGTTTGCCTGCTGCGAGAACATTTTTCGTGGACTTACGTCAATTACTAACTTAAACCTTTCTTATACTTTTTTTTATTAACTTTTAAACAGTATATACCAATTGAGAGAGATGTGTCTCACAATTTATTTTCTAAAGTATTCATAAATTATGTCACAATATCAAGTATTATTCTAAATTGCTTCAAGAATTATTAAAATATGTATATGAAATGAATTGGCGTTTAAGCTCTGTAATTGACGTAAGATCTTTAAGGTTATATACTGTCAAAATCAGTGACGTACATAGCTACAAACTATTATACATAATTTATGACCCACCGGTGGGTCATGTCGTCATCAACGTGTTAGTCTTAATGTAAAAATTGATTTGTTTACTTAAAATATATATAAATATAATAATATGTTCTCTAAATATTTATAGTAAAATATCAGATTGTGACAACTTTTTTATTTGACGTCTATTTATATTTGATGTCTATTACCTTTACCATCCAGAATTTGCAATAAGACGGACACTAATTCTTACTCGATTAGTTTATATGTAAGAATTGCGTTTTATGGTCACTTTTTTTTATATTTATTATAACAAATGTCAATAAAATTAATAAATATTAAAAAATAAAGCAAATGAATTGCAGTATTATATTGTTGTTAAATGTTGGTAGCTTCTTTACAAA